TCTATGGTGATGCTTTTTGCTATTCCTTTCTCTCCCCCTCCAGTGTCTATTTTATAATATAATGCAAGGAAAACCAAGATTCAAAAGACAGTCAAGCATCTTAATATTATTCCCCGCTTTTCCACATTCCAACCATGGCTTGATCTCCTTGTAGCAGTCAGTTAACTTTTGATGTAGTCTACAGCAATACCAACCAACCTCAGAATGCTCAGAAGTAGCTAGTAATATAGTGGTTCCAAGTCAGGCTGCTAACTCTCAATGTCAGCAGTTCAAAACTACCAGCAGTTCCGTGAGAAAGATGAGGCTTTCTGCTTCCATAAAGATTTACAGCCTTGGAAACTCTGTATAGGGTTGCTATCAGTCGGTTAGCAACTCCATGGCACATAACACCACCTAACCACCAGCAATAAGTAGGATTTTCTTGTGAGGATTAAATTACTGAGAATAATAATCTGACACAAAATTTAACCAGGGATTACTTTTCCATTTTCATCTTTTAAAATCTCTTTGTAGGATGATTTATTGATCGAAGTCTCTGAGATGTACAGATTACATCTGGATCTTCCAGGATCTGTTGATACTGAAATGACTACAGCAAAATTTTTCAAAGAAAAAGCTACTTTAATCATCACAATGCCTTTGATGTGAGACAACAGCATCACGTATCGCAGATTTTCAAGGCTGAGGTCATGTACATCATAGTACTTTTATTACAGGTGAAATGATCAATAATGGTTGATCTTAAACACTAATTTTATATGTTTCTGAAGAATTTCTTCAGAAAAGAGATTCTTTTTATCCATTCTTTTCACTCTCCATCTCAAGTAGACTTGGTATCAACTAGAAATTACTAAGTATGACATTGCCAGTGTGTACTTGTTTTGAAGGTATGTGTAGTGGTCTGAAGTAATGAGTTATCACTTGAAATATACAATTTGTTTTCAAGTAACATGAGAAGACACTGGGTTTTCTGGTTTAAAGTTTTTATTTTGAAGTCATGAATAAATCTTCAATATAAATCTTTGTATCAAGAAAAAAAGTCCAGGCTACGCAAGTTTTTTATTACCAAGATGGGATGTAACATTTAAAGTGTCCTTGAGCAATAAAAATACGTTATTGAACCACAAAAGGTTGGCAGTTCAAATTCACCAGCCCCTCCTTGGAAACTTTTTACAGGGTTGCTGAGTTGGAACTGACTCAACGGCACTTCATATTTAGTTTGGAGCGCAGTGGCTCCCTATAATACTCACTGGACTGCAAACCACAAGGGCCACAGAGTCCACCAGCTACTCCGAAGGAGAAAGATGAGACTGTTTTCACAAAGGTTTTTTTTTTAAAAAAAGCCTTGGGAACGCTATATAAGGACCACCACCAATGTATCATTTAGAGCACAGTGGCCAATATAATAAGCAACCATCACGAGGTCCACAGTTGGAGACCACCAACCACCTTGTGGGAGAAAGATGAGGCTTTCTGCACCCACGAAGATTTGTAAAAAGCCTCGGAAACCCTATACAGGGTTGCTGTGAGTTGGAACTGACTCCACAACACTTTAATAATGTATAGTTATGCTTCTGTGAAACTCTGTACTTCTATAAAATGGTTCAGCAAATAGTCCAAGATACACAGGCTGAGATTTTAATATCAGAGCTGAAATTTTCTGTAGTGGACTACAGTTATAGGAATTGGCTAATATTGCACAAAAAGCATATTAAACTTTTAAGCATCTTTGTCATCTTTTCTAGATACAAAACCGCTTTCTTAAAATTACTAGTTCATCACAGAAGTCCTGGTGTGGCACTGTAGATAGCAGTGGACTGCAAGCTGTTTAAATCTACCAGCTGCTCCTCAGAAACCCTATACAGCATCACTGTAAGTCAAAACTGACTGACACCAAGTTCAACATCAGGCAGTTTTGAAGTCCTTAACTTTAAAAACTAATATGTATAAGAGAAATCATTAGTGTGTGCAATTTAAAATCAAATATAATTTTCTTAAACCTGGTCTGGATTTGAATTCTACAAGGAGCTCTGGTAGCCTAGTGGTTACGAATCGGGCTGCGAACCTTAAGGTCAGCAGTTTGAAACTACCAGCCGCTCCGCGGGAGAAAGATGAGGCTTTCTACTCCCATAAAGATTTACACCCTTGGAAACCCTGTACAGGGTCGCTATGGGTCGGAACCGACTCGACGGCACTTCACAACAACAACAACAGGATGAATTACTTCCTGCAAATTTTCTAGATTTGTATGATCTCCTAAAATTTATAACAGTCCTTATAACCTCCTTGTTGTTTCCATTGATTCGATTCCAAATCATGGTGATGCTATGTGCAAAGCAGAGATGTTCCATAGGGTTTTCAAGGTTCTAACTTTTCAGACATCGCCAGGACTGTATTCTGAGGACCCTGAGTGGGTTCAGCCCTTTTAGTATTAGTAGTCAAACTTAATCATTTGTGCCATCCAGGATACCCTGGTCTCCTTAAAACAAGCAGATCCTGTTGCCATTTCAGAGCAATCCTTCAGACGGCATAAACTGCCTTGCCCCATGGTCTCCTTAAACAAAGAGAAAACGAAACGCACTGCCATCAGGTCAACTTCCAAGACTAAATCTTTATGAGAGCTGCCAGTCTCATCTTTTTCCTACCAAACCACTAGTGGATTTGAACCACTGACCTTGCAGTTAACAACCCACAGCACTACTAAGGCTGTCTCCCCCCACCCAAAACAACAAAAATTTGGACCATTCTACAAAATTATGACCAAATGTATCTTCTGAAAACATGCTCTACACCTAACCACATGAAACAGATGGAACCTCTATTCTTGCACTCAGCACATAACGTTCCTTATGTTTGTTCCTCCCTGTTTACATAGTTATAAAGCACATACCAAAAGCTAGCATGCTTAATGTTAAAATAGTCTTTGTTGTTTCTAGTTGTCATTATTTTCCAAAATAGTTTCACTCATATTACTTCAAGGGATTTTATAGTCATCAAAACATCTCTCACCTTCCCCCCTCCTCCTGCAAAAAGCCAAATTTTGTCCAGGAAGGGCACTAATGAAATATGGACTGGTTTGAATTTTACATTTTTCTTTTTTTCTCTCAAAACTGGTTAACGTTAATAGTACCTTTTAGAGACTGCGTATTTCTACAGTGTGGTTTAAAGCAATGATCACAAGTGATTATGATTTTCCTGTGTAGTCTAGGACTTGCAGATTGCTAGGTGATTACTCCTCAGCAGTACACTTCCACCACCTCTCACACACTGGCCAGTTCCTTTTGTAGAGCATACTCAGGGATTCCCTAAATTCATACATAAAAACTCGGAATTGGAGCAAAATTGCAAACAGAGATCATTTTCATCTTGCTAAGTGCCATACTCCAACATTAGATGCTTCAGGTAATTCCTTGAAATTTAAGTGTTGTTACATCTTTACAAATTCAGTCCTTATTTTACCAGTTCTGTAAACTCAAAATTTATCTGTATTGAGGTTAAGTCTCTATTGAAAGCTTATCAGTACACAGCTGTCTCTGAACCTTAATCATTTAATGTGGAAATAATTTCCAGTGGATCAAAAAATACACCAGACATGTTTAAAACATAGTTTAATTTTGTAACAATCTAATTTGAACCCAAAACACTGTTTTCTAGCCTTTTTCTTTTAGTCCTGGTAAGATAAATACCTGGGTTTAGATTACAGCTCAGATTTTTAATTCAGAACAATTTATTAAAAGTTGTTTTTTTAAAATTTTTTCTTTCAAGGGAATAAAAACCCCTAAGCAAGAAATGAATTGTCCTTGAAATTTCATGTATTTAAAACCAGATTTGACTCCTAAGGATGGTCCCTTGTAATAAATAAGCTTGTTCCTTCTACATGATCTTCATTTCAAGCCATAGTTACTCATTACTGAAAATTCAGATTACTGTATTGTTTTCATAATAATACAACAAGATGAGTATTGGTGGACTATATGGAGTGTCACTTGTACTTGGGCACCATGTAATAATGAACATTTGGAAACAGATTTAACACTGAAGGACTTAGAATAAATGTCAGGGCTAGCTCCACATATTACATATACAAGGAAGCACTGTCAAATTCATTTTAAATAGTTTAAACAATCCCAAACATTGATTAAATCTCATCAATTCAGTAACAAGTCTGGAATTGTGATAATGTTCCCTGTTAACTTTTACTATTTTGAATAGCATTCACTTCCCACAAAGGAAAGGTAAATTATAACAAAATGGAAAAAAGTAACCAAAACCAAGCAGCTGCTGAGTTTGAGCTGCCTAGCTTTTAGCAGACAAGAGCTTAACTACTATGCCATTAAGATAAGGTAGCACAATCTAAATACTTTTTTCTCTCCAGTAGGATTTAGGACTTTATTTTACAAGAGACAACCATGGGGTAGGAAAGACAGAACATTTTATGTACATCATTTAACATTTTCTACATTATCCAAGTAGAAATTACCAATTTTTGTCCCTGTTTGTTAACTGATACATTTCTCCTTCTTTCTTTTCAACTAAGACTTGATGACAAATGGATTTTGGCACATACCCAACTCTAGGACCTAGATTTTACATATATACACTTACTCCATAGTTATTTGAGATAGGTTCTCATAATCCTTTGAGTTAAGAGAATTCTGATAATTAGGTTAATTTGAAAGTAACCACCAGTTAATCTTAGAGTAAGGACTCTGTTTCCAAAAAATTTCTCTTAAATTCTATAAGTGTATTTCTGTATTTAGAGTTAGAGAATTCTGATCTCAGAATCATTTAAAAAACATTTGATTAAATAAATACCCACACAAATTTTCACTTATAGCAAGTAACTGATTTATATTTTTATACCTTCATCTCAAGATGGTAAAACAATCATTTAGGGTTTTCATAGGAAAATGAGCAAAATCAGTTGGCTGGAGATGTCTAAGAAAATATTGACTTAGGAAATTTTACTTATATCCCTTTAAGTTCTCTACCCTCCCTATTCATGCCAAACCAAGATCATGAGACAAAAGTTTTAAATTAGGTAAAATACCAAAATCATGCTTCAGTTCATACATTCTCTCCAAGAAAATTAATTTTCCTGACCCTTTCTCTCTCTATTAAATCCCACAACATTTGAGGAGACTAAATTTTGGAACTTCAAAATTTTATCCACATTACTTTTATATAAAAGTAGCTGTCTCAACAGGGAACCACAATTCTGCCTTTACATTTCTCAGTGGATATACTTTTCACCAAAGATCTAGGCCACATGTCCCTTGACTAGGAGCACACAGCATAAAATCTGGAGTTTAATTTTAAATGTGCACAATAGATGAGTGTTATTGGCATTAGAATAGTTCCATAATGCCCATTAAAAATAACTTATCTGGACAGACATAAAAAAAATAACTGGTTAACTTTAAAATAAAAGAACCACCTGTTTAACAACATAAATACCTTGGTAAGAATGAACCAACATGACCTAGAAGAGTCTTGAAACTCTTGGATTAATTATAACAACATGGTGATGGGTTTTTCCAGGTATTTTCTAAACTCAGCAAGCCACTGAGCTCCAACTGCTCCATCCACAACCCGATGATCACAACTAAGTGTAACAGACATCATGCTAGCCACATCAAATCTAGAAAAAGATAAAAACATAAAACATTAGTAGCTAATCTGAAAACAATCACTAGATTTTAGCCAACTGAGCAGCTCAAATGCTGAGTCCTCTCATTCCAAACAGGTAACATTGCTGTCCCCTATTCTTCATGTCCTCTACCCCTTTAGCTCAAACAACAGACAAAACAGCCAGCTCCTGGTCTCAACTGGAACCTCCACCTGTTTTTATAAAGAAATGCCTATGGAATGCAGCCATGTCCCTTCATTTCTGTAGTAACTATGCTGCTTTCATGCTACAATCATTAGTTGAATATGAATATTTGCAAGACCATTAGATCCAAAAAGCCTAAAATACTTACTGTCTGGCTCAAATTTAAGAAAAAGTGTGCTGAATCCTAATCTAGAGCAAACAGCTTCCACTCTCAAAAAGGATTTATTGCATTAGGTTAAATATAAAAAGATGCTACACAGAAGAACTTCATTCTATACTTTGGTTATTGGCGCTTCAAGTAGAAACACACAGTACTCCTGACAATCTTTTATTTAAAACCGAAACTCAAAAAACATAATGAAAAGGAGTTCACCACCCCTTTCCCATTTGGGCACTTACCCTTTCTCATTATCTGCTGGAACCAATCTATCTTCTGAAGCACCAATTGCCAAGATACACGCTTGAGGTGGGTTAATAATAGCAGAGAAATTCTTAATTCCAAACATTCCTAAATTGGAGATTGTAAAAGTGCCACCCTAGAAGAAAAAAGATTTTATTAAAAAACTTAAAATGAATCAAATCAACATGAATCAGAAGAAAGTTACAACTGTTATTCAATTTTTCTTTACTCTTTGGACCTTGCATCAATGAGCATACATGGCAGGAAAAAAAGGGCAGAAAACACCAAAAAGCATTATGTGAACCTTAGAAATAACATCATTCTTAGCAAACAGAAGGTAAGTAAATGGTACCTTACCTGGAACTCATGTGGCTGTAGTTTACCCTCTCGAGCTTTGGTTGCTAAAGAAACAACATCACTTGCAATGGTTTCCAATCCTTTTATATGTGCATTAAATACAATAGGTGTGATGAGTCCTGCAGGAGTACTGACCGCAACACTGATATCAACAACATGATTTCTATTTGAAAAGAAGGAAATTTAGTCAGCAACAATATATATTAGGATCCCATATGCCACGTTAAGCAGTATCATCCTGTATTTACATTTTGCTATGTGAATGGAAGAAATGAGGAAGTAAAAGAGCTGAACAGGAAATTTCAAAGGGCAGCTCAAAAAGACAAAAGTCAAGTATTATAATAAAATGGCAAAGACCTGGGATCAGAAAACCAAAAGGGAAGAAAGCCCTCAGCATTTCTCAACTGAATGAACTGACAAAAAATTTCAAGCCTTAATTTACAATATTTATTCTATTAGCAAAGGGAGCACTGTGGCTTCATACAATACACACTGGACTGGGAACCACAAGGTCCACAGTTCAAGCCCGCCAGCCACCCCATGGGAGAAAAACGAGGTTTTCTGCTCCCACATAGATTTAAAGCCTCAGAAATCCTATACAAGGCCACAATACGTTGGAACCAACTGCGTGGCACTCAAGAATAACTCTGAGCAAAATACTGAATAATGCAGAATGCACCAAAAGATTGAAGGAACATGCACTGCACCTAAAAGAAAATGGCCGATACTCAACTATTTTAAGAAGGTACCATATGATCAAGACCTGATAACTAAATAAAGGTAGCCTAAACTGCACTGAAGACACTGGCAAAAACAAGGCTCCAGGAATTGATTAATACAAATTGAAATCTTTCAACAAACTGATGTAGTACTGGAGTTGCTAACTCATCTATGTCAAGAAATTACAAAAACAGCTACGTGGTTGAAAGAAATCCACATTTGTGACAATTCCAAAGAGAAGTGACAATGGAAAAAGGAAATCACTGAACAAGATCATTAATATCACATGCAAATAAACATTTGCTGAAGACAAAATACAGTTACAATAGTACACTGACAGAGAATAGCCAGAAATTCAAGATGAATTCAGACAAGGATGTGGAACTAGTGATATCACTGCTGACATCAGACGGATCTAGGCTGAAAGCAGAGAATATCAGATGTTTAACTTGCACTTCAGTGACTATGCAAAAGCTTTCAATTGTGTGGGCCATGACAAACTAAGGGTTAACATTGCAAAGAATGGGTATTTCAACATCCTTAATTGTGCTCATGAGGAACCTGTACATAGAACAAGAGGCAGTTGTTAGAACAGAACAAGAGAACACTGAATAGTTTAAATTCAGGAAAGGTGTGTACCAGGGCTGTTTCCTTTGTTTGACCAGACTTATTCAATCTGTATGTTAAGCAAAGAATCTGACAAAACGGATTATATGAAGAACGTGGCATCAGGACTGGAGGAAAACTTATTAATAACCTACAATGTGCAGATGGCACAACCTTGTTTGCTGGGAGCAAAGAAGACTTAAAATACTTACTGATGAAGATCAAAGACTACAGCTTTCAGTATGGCAGACTGCACCTCCATATAAAGAAAACAAAGGTCATCACAACTGGACCAATAAAAAACATCATGATAAACAGAGAAAAGACTGAAAAAGACTTCATTTTTCTTGGATCCACAATCACCCCTCATGGAAGCAGCAGTCAAGAAATTAAATGACGCATTGCATTAGGCAATCTGCAGCAGAAGACCTCAGTAAAGCACTTAAGAGCAAACACATGTTTGATGACTTAGGTACACCTTATCCAAACTACAGTATGTTCAACTGCTGCATATGTATGTGAACATTGGACAATGAATAAGGAAGACTGTAAAAGAATGGATAAATTTGACTGATGGTATTGGAGAAGAACATTAAAAGTAGCGTGGACTGCCAGAAGAACAAACAAATCTGTGTTAGAAAAGGTATAATCAGAATGCTCCTTAGTAGCCAGGATGATACGACTTCATCTGTCATACTTCTGACATGCTATCAGGAGGGACCAGTCCCTAAAAAAGGACATTATGCTTGATAAAGTAGAAGGTCAGCGAAAAAAATAAACACTCCCCCAGGAGATGGACACTGGCAGCAGCAATGGGCTTAACCACTATGAGGATAACACAGCATTGAGTAGTGTTTCATTCCATTGTGCAGAGGGTCATTCTACGTTGGAAGTAACTCGTGCACCTAACAATAACGCCCTTCTTATAGTTTAGAAATAAGTGAGACTGGTAAAAGGAGATGGGGATAAGATTCTTCTGATTCAACAGTAATTGTTATCATGACTAATTGTGACGGTCACACTGTAAAGGCAGAAGTTTTGTAACAAAGGGGGGACTAGTTCATCTTACATTCCAGGAACAGAGGACCCTAGGACCATCAAGGGAGAAGAGCACGAGCAGAATGTGGGTCCCTATCCAGAGAAGTAGCCAAACCAGAGATGCAGGCAGAGATGAGGACATAGAGAGACAGAGCAGCACAGAACTCTAGACTCATGAAAAGAGAAAGGCTGTATACTGGCGCCCAGGAGGAAGGCTTGCAGATGTGCCCTCTGGTTATTTAAATTACATATTTCTGTGTTTTTGTGTATATAAAAATAATAAATAAATAACAACAAAAAACCCAGGGAACAGAAGCAAATACTGTTGAACGATGACGCACACAGGGGACTGTAATCATTGCAATGAAACAAAATACGATAGGATGAATGCAAAACCAATGTTCTCCCATGTAAACTATCACTCAATTCACAATAAAAGCTTTAAAAATGAATGAGAAAGCTCTCAGTAAGCTGGTTTTACCAGCAAACCTTCAAACTCAACTCTCACTTTGCCCAAATCATGGAAAAAAGGTACTGTAGTCAGGAATATTAAGTAATCAGAGCTCCTAGGATTTTGAGAGGAGGTGGAGTTGAGTGATTCCAAGCAAAGCTTGAACAAAAAACAAACAAGTGGAGGGAAAGAACTGCACTGTGAGGAGAACCAGGGTGCTGGCGACACAGGGTAGTGTTGTCTCAGGAGAAAATATCATTACAGAAAAGATTCTAAAGTTTTTATGCACCATGAACCCCTTTGCATTTGGGTCCCTTCTCAGGATTATTTTTTAAAACAGAAAATACATATTTAAATCACAAAGAAAACAACTACACTGAAATTCAATTAAAAAAATTTTTTAAAACAAAATTTTGGTGCTATGTGCTTTGATATTAACTCACTCAACAAAATCTCACAGCATATCTACTAATGGCAATGACTCTGAAGTAGTGGTGAGTGAAACACTATTTTACAACTACAATGTACTAGTGAAATCAAGTCAAAGAACCGAAAATCCATAAAGGATTTAAGTGTTATCTATAAATATAAAGATTAAATACCAGAAGAAATCTTAGTTTAAGGATTGGAACAGGTTCATATTAAGCCATGTAGCAGTATTTCAAACTACATACTATTATTGATAAAAATTAATAATAAAGAGTCCACATATAGAAAAAGTTTAGTCTTTGGGGTCAGAATCTTGATTCTATTCCCATTTCTGCCTTTTACTAACTTATTAACTCAGAGCAAGTAACTTCACTCATTGAGCACCAGCCTCTTCATCTACAGCATCTATCTCATAAGGATTCAATGAGATCATATGCAAAACATACTAAGCATCAGGTCAGTCATTTAATATAGGAACAGATACTGTTCAGTTTTTTTCATTTTCTTTTCAGTTTTGCTCCTAAAGTCCAGCAGAACTCACTGGTAAGTAAAAATCATCAACTCACTGGTAAGTAAAAATATTTCAACTCTGCTTTGTGAGCTAGTACCAGCTTTAATTATTTTTATTTGTACACTGACCTCCCTTTTCTAAATGCCTGCAAAAACTCTGTACTCTTTACGAACAAAATTGAGCACCATTTCACAAACAGTTTTGTAGTCACATTGTTATCTCCCCCTCCCCAAAGGAACATCATTCATTTCCTCTTAACACCCCCTCCACTCTTACAGAGACATTACATAAAACAAAAAATCACTGATGGATCCAAACCTTCCCCTACTGTGTTATACTTACTGTCTTATAACTGTGTCCAGCCAAGAAGAATTTGCTTCAGGAACTTTTAAGCATGCCAAAGCTGAAGCTTTTATGATGAAGTCATTGACAGATACTTTGCCACTTCCTTCTAACATCTGCAAAAATAAGAAACCACTGGAGTTTCTTAATTAGTCACTACAAAAACCAAGACTATATAACTTTGATAAAGGGAAACAGGAAATATTATTACATAGAGGGAACAGCAAGTGTAAAGGGCCTCAGGTAGAATTATATCTGAGTGTCTAACAATCATTGTGTGTGGAGCAGAGTGAGCAAGTAGAAAAGTAGCAGAGAGCACAAATAGGTTATACGAGAGTCGAAATTGCGTAAAACTCTAGGAGTTTAGCTTTACTCTTCATTTTCTTGAAAGTAACTTCAAATCACTCTCTCCCTCTCCATTTGTAATGCCACCCTCAAGTTCAGACACTTATCACCCTTACTTCATGCTTGGGTTATAATAACAAAGCATAACTAGTCTCTACCACCAACATGTGCCAGTATATATCTATCAGACTAATTTTCCTTAAAATATTGTTATCAAGTCACTTTACTTATCAAAAACATATGTATAGTGGTTTCTTATTTACTTTCTAATTCATCAAGTTCAAAGTCTTCTGCCTGTAGTCCACAGTGTTCCCTAAACAGACTTAGTGTATTTCCATTTTAGAAAAAACACTCTTCTGTCTTCCACATATTTTATTTCCATTTTTAAGAACTTAAAAAGAAAAAAACCCCACCACTGCCCCTCATCAATTACGCCTCATGACAAACCCATGTGTTTCAGAGTAAATCTGCATTCCACAGGGCTTCCCACGGCTGTGATCTTTTAAGTAAGATTGCTAGACCTTTCTTCTGAGAAGTCTTTGGGTGGGCTCCACCCTTTCAGTTAGCACCCAGGGACACTGTAAAGTACTAACTCTTATGATATCTCATAATTAGAATGACCTTATTTCAACTTCTTTGCTAATACAAACCCTCCTCTTCTCCATAGTTCAACCAAGTTTCTCCTACTCCACTGTGAATTTGATGACTTCCCCCTTCACTAAATACCTGTAATGCCTAACCTTATAGAATGTAATTTAGCAGAAAATTAAGGGGCATCACCATAAAAAAACTAATATGTGTATATACATTATACATATTAGTTTCTTTATATTTTATAGATTTATTTATATAAACTAACATAGTTGATCCATGTACAACACGGGTTAGGAGTGCCAACCCCTTTGCAGTCAAAAATCCATGTATAACTTTTGACTCCCCGCCCCCCCAATTTAAATACTAATAACCAACTAGTCACCAGAAGCAAAAGTACAGTCAACACATATTTTGTATGCTGTATCATATGCTGTGCCCACATAAAAGCTGAATTTTTAATATGAGGAAAAAAGGTTTTTTGAAAAAAGTGCAAGGTTTTCACACACGCTGCATAGTTGCAGCCAACAATTTCTCATATTTCCTTTTTTTTATAACAATCCTTACACTGGATTCATTCATCCTGAAATGGAGTTTGTTGTCGTTAGGTGCCATTGAGTCAGTACCAACTCATAGCACAGTACCGACTGTGTACTGCGCACATAAGTACCGACTTATGCGCAACAGAACGAAACACTGCCTGATCCTGGGCCAACCTCACTACTGTTGCCACGCTTGAGTCCATCGATGCTGCCACTTGGCCAATCCATCTCGTTGAGGGTCTTCCTCTTTTTCTCTAACCCTCCACCTTACCAAACAGGGTATTGTTCTCCAGTGACTGGTCCCTCCAGACAATATGTCTGAAGTATAAGAGATGAAGTTTGGTCATCTTGGCCTCCAAGGAGCACTCTGGCTGCACTTCTTCCAAAACAGATCTATAGGTTATTTTGGCAGACCATGGCACTTTCAGTATTCTCTCTCCAACACCATAACTCAAATGTGTGAATTCTTCTACGGTCTTCCTTATTCACTGTCCAGTTTTCGCATCCATATGAGGTTATTGAAAATACCATGGCTTGGATCAGGCGCACTTTAGTCTTCAAACTGACATCTCTGCTCTTCAACACTTTAAAAAAAGGACTTGTGCAGCAGATTTGCCTAATGCAATATGTCGTTTGATTTCTTGACTGCTGCTTCCATGAATGTTGATAGTTGACCCAAGAAGAATGGGGTACATATCAAAAATTCCACTTTTTTATGTCATGACTTTTCTTGGGAGTGCTTCCAGTGGCACTAGTGGCCCATGGTGTTACACAAGGTTTATGTGTTACACTCAACATGCAAGAACCACTAGAGATCACTTTTTATTGCAATACACAATTTACTGGAGAGACAAACTGCTCAGGTTGAAAGCATTTTTAAAAAGAATCGCATGTAAGTGGACCCAGGCAGCTTATCTGTGTTGTTTAGGGTCAACTGTAATATTTTTACTTCTAATAACAGTTGACTTTTTTTCTCATGTATTATCTCCCTGATTAGATGATAAAAACTCATGGAGAAGCCATGTCTTAAGCTGTGTTCCCACAAGTGACATAATAAAAACCACTAGGCAGTTGCTTGGCACTTGACTATAAAACACAAACCAAACAATTTCTTACCTGTCAAAACAGACTTAGTTTCTTTATCACAGTAGCTCTGCTAGGCTAAAATCTATCCATGATTGTGCAATGTCAGCTTTGATTTGATAACTTTGACTAGCAAATGAAAATTCTCTAGTATGTTCTCTGCAACTGGCATATTCTAACAAATTTTATGGGCAAAATGTTAAATGCTTACTAAGGAAACACAAACTTTTTAGTAATTAGATAGTTGAAATTTCCAGACCTTTTACCTTATTAAGTTCTTTCCGCACTGTCAAAACTTCTCCCATATTTACATCAATAGACAGGTAATAATGAGGTATGGTTTGCTTAGATTGCATTAACCTCTGTGCAATAACCTGAAACCAAAGAGAATCAAAAAGCAATTATCGACTTGATACCTAATTCAAGCCTCAGCTCATCACCCTCACCACACTCCTCAGCAAAGCTTACCTGAAGCATTGTAATTGGAAGAATGAGAAACTATATCATAATTTAGCATCTTCTAGGTTACTAGGGAGCCCTAGTAGCACAGTGGTTACGTGTCGGGCTGTTAGCCACAAGGTTGGCAATTCGAATCTACCAGCCACTCCTCAGGAGAAATATGAGGCTTTCTACTCATGTAGAGATTTGTTGCTGTCAAGTGCCGTCAAGTTTTACTGGCTTGGAAATCCTATACAGGGTCTCTATGAGTCAGAACCAACTTGATGGCACACAACCACCACCACCAGATTACTATGAGTTGGAACCAACTCAATGGCACTAACAATAGCAGTTGTATTTAACCAGAACACACTTGATTTCTCTCTTTGAGTACTCAACAACCAAACCCAACATCCTTTAAACTAAGCATCCAAGATTCCTAACTGAAAGAAGCCTCTGCTAACATTTTTAAACATGCAATTAATCAATGTACAAGTGCTCCCAACAGTTTTGATTTCAGATTATGGTAATACTCATACTCGACGAATGTTGCTGATTGGGATATCTGTGAAGACACCAGTAGGAACTGGTGCCACTCCAGGAACTGGGGGAGAAACTGCAGTTGCTGGAGCCTATAAGGGAAAAAAACAAAACTGCTCTTAGTAACCATGGCTCAACCTTACCATGAACACCTAGGAAAGACTTTTATATAAAAAGGGGCTTCAAAAAGTTCATGGAAAAATTACGTTATCTTTTAATTCCATTTTTCAAACACAGCAAAATAAAAGTAAAGCATTACAGAATACTTACTTCTATCACTAGGAAGCAAAAGCAACTTGTTTAACTAAATAACCACAGAAAACTCAAACCGCAATCAATCAAATTGAAAACATCCTTTTAAAAATAGAGGCTATGAAAGGAAATGTGGTTAGGTCTCCTGTGATACAATAGTGAGTAATTGTTATCAGGACTGATTGTGAGAGTTGGAAATGTAAAGGTAGATGTTCTGTAGGAAGGAGGGGAGTGATTATCTTTGCAGTCTAGGAGCAGAGCAGAGAGCGGGACCCTACCCATAGAAGCAGTGATGCCTGAGATGGAGGTAGAGACAATGACATGGGGAGATGGAGCAGCTGGGGGCTTTAGACACAGAGAGGGAGAGAGGCTGTGTGCTGATGACCCGGCGGGGGGGGGGGGAGTCTTGTAGGGTATACCCTTTGATTGACTGGTTGATGATGCATGGAGGGGATGGTAACCATGGCAACGAAAGGATATATGATTGGATGAGTGTAAAACTGTTCTCCCATGTAAACTATCACTTAATAATTCACAATAAAACATAAAAAAATAGGGGCTAAATGAGAGGATATATGAGTAATATTACTACTAAAAAAATGACTGGCATGCATGTCAGTGTAGTACCAAGTATATCATCTTTGATTCTGTAAGAAAGTGACAATACATTTATATCTAAATACTGCTAATCCAATGAATTTGGACAATTTGGTTAAGTACACATAACATATGAAACAGTCTAACTGGCTATACAAAGTACTTTGTAAGAAGCAAACTACAAAAAATAAAGTCAAATGTAACTCACAGGAGCAACTTTGGTAGGCACAAAAGAGTCAATGTCCTTCTTGATGATTCTGCCATCTGGTCCGGTCCCTGGAAATAAAACATGCATGATGGCACACAGTTGATTCTCCAAAAAGATTCAACAGTATAATCCTAAAGTATTTCTATTAGAAACACTCTGAAGGGACCATAGCCTTCAGACCTCTTCCTTAAAATTATTCTGAAAAGAATCCCAGCTTTTGTCAAATATTCATTTTAATCATACTCACTACTTTGTTTGGTCTGTTATAGTTCTTTTAGCTATATCAAATAGTCTATTTCTCTTTTAGAGTTTCATCTAATTAAATTGTACTTTATGTTTTTCATCTTGTTTATTTTTAAATATTAATAAGGATAAAGTTGAGTACAATTTATACTTCAAAAAGAAGATTCTTTCTGTTTAGCTTATAAAGAACCTTTTAGAACTCTAAAATAGAACTCATTTGGTTTCTAGATTAACTTGACCATAAATAATTCCCTTTATACAGAACTGACAGACATGATTATCTATTCTGAACAAATCAGGCAAGTCAGGTTTTTAAATTTTGGTCTCCAAAGGGACAGTTAAGCAGTACATATCACTTTTAATTGCAATTATTTCATCTTCAGAGGCAGGTAACTTTTATGTGGTCTCTAGCACTCTCAGCATTTTTAAAAGTATCCCAGACACTAAACTGGTCTGTGTTGAGACAAAGGGAAATAGGTACAATGTTATACATGGGGAAGGGAGGGGTGAGGGGGACTTCAAAGTTCTCTCAATATGCTTAATTCTACTTTTTTTTCCTCCTCCCATCCCAATCTCTTAGGATAAATATTAGACCCAAGTAGATAATTCTGAGCCTTAATTCTAAGAAGATCCAGAATTAAGTTATTAGAATACCTTTTACATTGGCCCACTTCTAGAATAAATTTGGTCAAACTGATTCATCTTCCCCCAAGGCAGACTTTAAAAAGGATTCTCTCGTTGTGTGCAGTTCTTCCCAACTCCTTTCCCTTCATTATGAAAGCTGAGGAGTTGGCTAGGATTGTGTTTATCCTCACCAGGAGCTCTAGAACAGAGGTGGCAGTATTCCCCTGTTAGATTTCCCTCCTGAATATAAGACAGAAACCATAACATCTCCCCTTACAACCAAGTCTGGCCTGGCCACCTCAGCCCCTCAAGAGGAGGAAACTTGGAGAACAAGAAGCCTCAGACACCCACAAGAATTTGCTGTGTACTGGGAGTTAGTTGAAACTAGTATTAGGACTTCATTGAAATCCTTTTGCCTACTTCTCCATGGAGGGACAACAGGCCACTGTAAGGAATATGAGAGTGTTTCAAAAAGTTTGTCAAAAGATGGAATAAAATGATAATGAAATTTTCAAACTATGTGAAGTCCTCTTGTATGGTAAAAACACATACTGGACTAGAAGTCAAACATGTAGGGTCTTTGTCAATCATAAACTAGACAGATGACTACAGTTAAAGTCTCATGTGGTCTCCATTCTCCTCATCTGTAAAATGGGATTATATCAGTCCCTGCTCACAAGACAGTGGTGAGGATAAAATGGGATAGTGATATGAAAGTGCTCTGTACTACAGAAATATAAAATATTACATAGGTTGCTTTGAGATAAAAGCAACTCTTGAGCACTGAAGTTTAAGCCTAACCCAACTTCTGCCCAAATGATAACATTTTGGTTACATCTGCTGAATAATCTAACCCTCTATTCAACTTTCCTTTTAGTTGGTGTTTTAAATCTCTCCCCTCAAACTCCTCAGGGTTAGGTCATGGACAAGGTGTCCTCTTTGCTTACCACTGTTGTTGTTGTTAAGTGCCATCGAGTTGGTTCTGACCCATTGTGACCCTGTATAGAGTTTCTGAGGAGTGACTGGTGAGCTTGAACTTAAAAGTCTGTTTGAACCACAAGGTCAGCAGTTCAAGCTCACCAGTCGCTCCTCTGAAACCCTATATAAGATGCTGTAGGTTGGAACCGACTTGAGGGCATTTAGCAACAACAATAACAATGCTTTCTCTGGACTTCCTGGTGTGGCACTGTAAAATCAGCACCGGACTGCGAACCTTGTACTGCAAATCACAAGGTTGGCAGTTCAAACCCACCAGCTGCTTCTCGGAAACCCTATATAGGGTTCCTATGAGTCGGAACCAACTTGACTGAAGTTAACAACAACAATGTAATCTGTACTTCTTCATCCACTTTTCACTTTCCAACTTATCCAGACTGACTTCCATCCTACTTTTCTTCTGAAACAACTTGTCAAGTACCTATATCGAATACTTGGCTAAGTTCTGTTGTTTCTAAAACGCGTTTTGCACCTGTCTATTTCTTTTCATTTCCACTTTCACCACCCTAATCTAAGATTCCATTATCAGCCCCAGGAACAGCACCTAAACATTTGGTTCATTTAATCTTATTAAAGTTACTTCTTGCTTAAATCCTTCAATGGCTTCCTATTATATGTTAAATGTTAAACAAATCTAAACTATCACGATCTTTGGACAATATAGTATCAGGATCGTATCTCAAGAATCTTTTCTTTTTCATCCTTATTTCTCTCCAACTTCTTCTCCCATTGCTAGACCCACTGTTCAATATGTTCCATTGAGTTCACTGGCCTCTTTTTGCACAAACATGTCAAGCTCTTCCCCTCTCATACTATGTACTGCTGGTCTCTCTGCCCAAAATGCTCCTTCCCTGGTTCTTACATGTCTCATAGTTCATTCCTCATCTTTTAGGTCAGATCAAATGTTATCTCATCAGAAAGATCTTGCCTAACCACCCTGTCTAAAAGCAATTACGACTGCCTACTTATCCACCCTATCACCCAGTAGTTTATCACTCAATTTCTTTCTATCCTAAAACTTAAATTATCTTTTTAAATAATAATAAAATTATTACTAGCAGTATAGCTAATACTTATATGTGTTTTCTCCAGGTATTATTTATACAAAAAACACATTTAATCCTCATAACCCTTTGAGGTATCTTTTTTATATACAAATGAATAAACTGAGACATAAAAAGTTATCATAACTTACCCTAGATCATATAGTTAGTTAGTATACATGGCAGACCTGATATTCAAAACCCAAGCATTCCAGCTCTAGAACCCAAACTCTTAACTACTATGGTAAACTTCCTTTCTGTTCACTTAATTGTTTCTCACTGGCAATATAAACAACTTGACAACTGATATCTTGTCTGTCTTCTTATAAACAAGTATCTGATGCAGATTGTACTTAATGAATATATCTATCTGTTGAAATAAATAAATCACCCAACTATGCCTACATGATAAAAGTACTGGGACTTTTTATCTTTAGGAAAGCACCCAGTGCTACTAAATATATAATAGACAGTCCTTCTTTATTTATTAAATAAATCTTTAATAAAATGATTTCTTTTATCTTAACATAAATTGTTAAACAAATCTCTTTGTCCCGTAAAATACATATACACATTGTTATTCCTGATTCTAGTCACACACACATAAAGAATGGCAACATCAAGTAAAATAGCATAAAAATGGAAGACAAGTCTTCCAATATTATTAATAATTTTTGGAGGTTCAAAAACATCTACAACATCCTACAGTTGTATCTTGGACTTCGCTTGCCTTTTACTGGAAAACAGATTGCAGGCAGATGATAATTAGCACAGAGTGTCTCTAATTGGACAATTAAAGCAATATAACAGTTATTTTATTTAGTAATTATGGATGACAGAATATCAGAATAGAAGGCAGCACAGGATAACTGAGTAGAACACAGGCATTAAGAGTTAAACTAATCGAGATTCAAATCTTAATTTTACAATTTTATTACTTACTGGGAAGGGAGACTTCTTAAAGTCTCAGTTTCATTATTCAAAAAGTACAAATTATAATTTTTACCTCAAAGTGGTAGTGGCAGTGATGGTTGGGTACCATGGAGTCGGTTCCAACTCACAGCGACCCTGTATAGGGTATGCAAACTGTAAATCTTTACAGGAGCAGAAAGCCTCATATTTCTCCCACAGAGTGTCTGGTAGATTCAAACTGCCAACATTGCGTTAACAGTCCAATTCATAATCCACTATGCTAGCAGGGCTCCTTTACCTCAAAGTAGTGACATGCAATTAAATGTGGTAAGTTAAATGCCTAGCATATAGTATCAGCCATCAAACTAGGTTTCAGGAATAATTTTTCCCGTTGCAAAATAAGCATCTTAATTACCTAACATTAAATTTTAGCTTAAATTTAGTTTACAAACACTTAAGTGCAATAATTTGAGAAACTATGTATTACGTAATTATTAGGCGCTAGAAAGGAGCTTTGGTAGCGCAGTGCTTACAAGTCGTGCTTCCACGACAGCAGTTCGAAACCATCAGCGGTTCCATGGGAGAAAGATGAGGCGTTCTGCTCCTGTAAAGATTTACAGCCTCAGAAACCCAGTGACCCATAGCAGGGTCACTATGAGTCAGAACCAACTCCGCAGTACTTAACAACCAGAACAAGATACTACTCTTAAGTATTCTGCCTGTAACAGCTCCTTTAATTCTCAGACTTCTATGTGGAGGTGGTGGTAGTTGTGTGCTGCCAAGTTGGTTCTGACTCACAGCGACCCTGTCCAGGGTTTCCAAGGCTGTAAATCTTTACAGGAACAGAAAGCCTCATCTTTCTCCTATGGAGCACCTGGTAGATTCGAACTGCTGTCCTTGTGGTTAGCAACCCTACGCATAACCCACTAATACTACCAGGGCTCCTTGACATGTCTTTGTAATGTACAATCATTATTATCCCCATTTTACAGAAGGCAAAACAGATGGATTATGTAATTCACCTAAATACACATACAGAAAAAACAACCAAGTCAGGAGTTAAATATAGGTGGTCTCATTCCCAACCCTGGGCTCTTATCTAGGCTACCCTTTCTTTGGGGAGGACAGATGAGTGAAACGTCTTCCCCTGCCTTCAAGGAACATTAGTTCAGCTTCATATGGATTTCGCTCTTTTAAAAGTCACTTTAAATCAACCCATCTTCATGTTTTATTTGGTTTCTTGCTTATGGCTATAGTCAGTCAAGCTGACACTAACAGAGACTTCTTAATACACAATCAAGTCTTGTAACTTACTCTTCCTAAACAAACACCTTATGCTTTCAGCCATCACCAATAATTAAGCATGGTTCACATAAATAAAACTGAATGAAAAATTATATAGGGAAAACCTAGGGAAACCGAATAAAGTAGAATGACAGTTTCCCTACTCTGTAGTAGATACAGTGGAGATACTTTCTTCCCTCACTCTTCTCCCCAATATGTCAGTTAAGAAGACTGTAGTTGAATTTTCTGGTTTTAAGGAGGAAGTTCAGCTAAATTTTTACTTTACAACCGCATTCTGCACAAAATACTTACCTTTTACTTGTGCAAGGTCAATCCCTTTTTCTGTTGCCAATTTCTTTGCAAGAGGGCTAACAAACACCCTTCCTTTTGGTCCAGCAGGAGTAGCTGGGCGGGCAGCTGAAGGAGTAGGGGCTATAGGTTGAGGAGTTGGAGGAGCAGTGGCCACCTTTTTAAAAAGTAACAAATTATTAATTAACCATTGCAAAAACTGACCTGAACTATTGAGACTTCATATTTAGTAAGTCAAAGATGTTTTAATTAAATAATTGTCATCTTTTTTCCAAAGATCATAATGTAGTGTCATTTTCTGATTACCAACATAATATAGCATTATGAAGAGCAAAAACTATACTTTGTCCAAAAAAAAAAAAAAAAAAAAAAAATCAAGCTATCTTATTCCATAATACAAAAGGGATGGAATTGAATACCACTAACCAATAGAATATCTTTACAGTCTTTCTTCACTTGCCATTTCTTTATTGTCTTTCTTTTCTATCACCAACATTTTGGTTTTTTAACTTGTCCAAATCTAAAATCTAAAGTTATGTTGGAACGTTCTAAATTGAAAAAGATCTTAAGAAATAAATAAGTACTGCTACTTACTAACTCCCTATTAATGTTTGATAGTCAGGAATCAAGTTTTCTCTGAAATGAGTACCTAATCTAAACTCACATGATTCTAGCATCTGCAGAAGCCTTGCTACAAAGTTAATCTATGCTTAAGAGTTCATACAAATTCATGCTACAGAGGAAGTCATTCATAATAATATATCTAACGCTACATAAAAACAAGTCATGCTGTATCTAACTTCTAATGAATTGCAAATATATGCTTGACCTAGCATGATATGTAAACACCAAGAGGATTGACAATAGCAGAGATTACGTAGTAAATTTTATAAAACACAGGGAATGCGTCATAACCATAATATCTGCCTCTAAAGCAAAAAGAAAACATAACATGTCAATACCAAGAACTTCAATGTGCTTTGGTGTCAGTACAACTCACTAGTGTATGGGAGGAAGAACTACAATGATCAAACTACTAACCACTAACTAGGTGAACAGTACAGTGCCATATATACTCTATTGTTGTTAGGTGCCATCTAGTAGGTACCGACTCATAGTGACCTTATGCACAGCAGAATGAAATACCGCCCGATCCTGGGCCAACCTCACTACTGTTGCCACACTTGAGTCCATCAATGCTGCCACTTGGCCAATCCATCTTGTTGGGGGGGTCTTCCTCTTTTTCTCTGACCCTCCCCCTTACCAAACATGATAACCTTCTCCAGCTACTGGTCCTTCCTGACAGTATGTCCAAAGTATGAGAGATGAAAGTTTGGCCATCTTGGCCTCCAAAGAGCACTCTGGCTGCACTTCTTCCAAAACGGATCTATTGGGTCTTTTGGCAGCCCATGGCACCTTCAATACTCTCCTCCAATACTGTAACTCAAATGCCTCAATTCTTCTACGGTCTTCCTTATTCACTGTCCAGCTCTCGCATGCATATGAGATTACTGAAAATACTATGGCTTAGGTCAGGCGCACCTTAATCCTCAAGCTGACTTCTTTGCTCTTCAACACTTTAAAAAGATCTTGTGCAGCACTTTTGCCTAATGCAATACATAGGTCTCCATAAATGTTCACTGACTGTCTCCATCCTCATTCATAGTCAAAGAACCTGAAATATTATCTTTTCATCCCTTCCATTTAGAGATGAACAGAGTAAGTGTTCCTTCAATTCCAGAAGCATACTTACCGGGGGTGGCACAGATGGTGGTGCTTGGGGTTTTAAATCCGTTACTTCAGTTGGCCTGTAGTCAGCAAATGCTGGTATATCTGCCTCTTTTTCTACAATGATACAGAGTGGGGTTCCTAGAGGGACATCTCTGGTGCCTTCAGGAATCAAGATTTTTGCTAGGTAACCTTCTTCCTGTACTTCAAAACCTTCAATAGACAGAAAAACCATTATGGTAGTTTCCAAGCTCAAAGTATTTTTCTTTAAAGGCTCTTATTCAAACTAGCTTTAAAATCCTTTTTCAAGTTACTTAGACTCTCTGTTTCCTTACCTATAAAATATGGATGTTAATGAAGATTAAATAAATTAATTCTTTTAATACTTAAAACAATATCTGATACAAAGCAAATACTAAATAAGTATTTGTTAAATAAACTATGAGAAATTACAAACAATGGTTAGTTCTGAAAGCTGTTCTTAAGATACCCCCAAGGGTACACAGTTAGAACAACTAAAACCAAAACCTCATGGATGTTATATTATAGATGCTACCAAGTGGACTGGTGTGGTGTTGTAGGATAAGCACTGAACTGCTAACCACAAGGTTGGTGGTTCAGAGCCACCCACAACTCCTCGGAAACAAAATACTGGTCGCTATGAGTTGGAATCAACTCAACAGCACTTAACAAGGTGGACAGTGATGTGGGTTTTACACCAAAAAGCATTTTTGGAACCTTTCAAAGTAGTTATTACACTTTCAAAGTAGTTATCAAACATTTTGATGTGAAGAAATACAGCATTACTAAGGATTCTATGGAACTGACAGCGTATGTTTTTAGTCAGCTGTTTTTCTTATTATGGTTGCAAAAATACAACTAAGGAAGCAAGCCATTAGAAGATAAGTTTTGCCTTCCTGATCTTGGCTCTCTATGCCATTGCACCTCTCCTTGAATAATATAAACCATAATGAATCCTTCCATTTCCCATTAAGATTTAAAATTCAGTAATAAAAGATGGGTTTAGAAAAAAAAAAAAGGTTTCAGGGTCACAACAGAGTTCACACTGGAATTTACGCTAAACTGCAAAATAAAGCTATCACTTCCATGCTTTGTTTTTCCTTTTTAACGAACAGACTCCTTTCTTCTAAGAAAATCTTACAGGGAGTCACAATATGCATAAAGATAAAAAGGACATGCTCCGGTGAAAAGTGAGGAGGAGGAAGGGACAGGAGGACAGAGAACAGAGAGCTCTGCTCTGTTAAGTCTCTCCTCACCTCAAGATACCATCAAAGAATCAAGGGGTATGAAGAACACAATCTGGACACAGAGGATACCCAACAATCTCCCAGGTCAACTCTGGGGAGTAGTGGTGATTTATGGGTCAGAGTCCTGCTGTGGCACTGTAGGATAAGCACTAGACTGCAAGGTCAACAGTTCAAACTCACCAGTCACTCCTCAGAAACCCTATACTGTGAGTTGGAATGACTAGATGGCACTTAACAACAATGTATATGCAAAGGTGAATCAGAGGTTCCCTGTTTCAAAATTTAAGTTAATTTTCCAGTTTCACAAAATAATCTTAGCTCAGATCATTTGGTTAAAAATGTTAATGCGCTCTGCAACTACTATCTGTCTTTTCACTCATGTTGCTGTTATTAAGTGTCATCAAGTTGGTTCTGACTCATAGCAACTCTGTATAGGGTTTCTGAGGAGCAGCTGGTATGTGTGAACTGATGCTTCAGGTTAGCAGTCCAGTGTCTATCCTACAGTTCCACTCATAGGAAACAAGCTTTTCTCCCAACTTCCCAGATGTTTTTCCAAGATAAAATACTATTTATGATTCAAGCCCACCATCTGCTCCATAGAAGATAAGGCTTTCTACTCCTGCAAAGATTTATAGCCTCGGAAACCCTAAACAGGGTGCCTATGAGTTGGAACTGGCTCGACAGTGCTTAACAGCCACAATGGATATTCTACCAGCAATCCTCAAACTATGAAAACAAATAAAACCCTGGTTTCAGTTTCTCTCAAAGCCTCTTAGATTCTTTATTACTCTATTTGTTCAATCCCTCTCTCAGTTTAGAGGACAGCAGTCCTGATAAAGTTTCTCAATAATATAATAATTAGGCTAAAGAAAAACTTTGGTCTAAGAATAATCTCTGGGTTGACATATCCTTGATTCAATGAGAGAATGAGATGGACATGACAAATCCGACTATGACTTTTATCGCTATAAAATACCCTGTCCCAGGAAATGAAGTCCAAGAATGAAAACGTTTCGTGTTATCATTCACTCATTACAGGTTAGGTAGGCAATCCTCTTCCCCTTACTGGAAATTCAGTGCCTCAACCATTCAATCAGAGATGAGCAAAACTCACCTATAGTGGCCTTGTCAGTCTCTATTTCTGCCAATAAGTCTCCTTCACTTAGCTTCTCACCCACTTTTTTTTCCCATCTCTGAACTGTGCCCATGGTCATGGTGGGAGAGAGAGCAGGAAGAAGTACCTATAGGAACAAATACATATTATTGCTTCAGTCTAAGAAACCTTGGACACAATGATACTCAAGCAAGCTTGGATCATTTTATGGAAGAACAGTGATTGTGAGAATTCAAATTCCTATCTACACAATCCCCCTTTAATAGCAAGAGATCAGTGCTTTAACAGCTTCCCACCAATTAAATCATCCTTCAAATCAACCTTCGTTCATAGTATCAGCAATACTCCCAAGGTCAAAAGCAATGAGTAATGGGAAAGAGTTCTTTTTAGACAGTCAATAAATTTCTCAACAGACACAAAGATTACTTTCAACTTTTTTTAACACTAAAGTAAGCATTTTCCACTTTTAGCTCAGATCATTCTGTTAAAATTTTACTGTGCTGTCTTTTCACTCATGTGGTGGTGATTATGTGCCATAGGAAACAGTATTTCTCCCAACTTCCCAGATAGAATTTCAAGATTGAAACAAAATTTTAAAAACCTAACATTCATAAATGGAGTCCTGGTGTGGCGCTGTGAGCTAATGCATCAGATTGCAAAGTCATTTGAACTGCAAGGTCAGTGGTTGAAGCTCACCAGCTGCTCTTTAGAAACACTGTACAGGATCACTATGGGTCAGAATTGACTCGACAGCACTTAACAACAACAACAAACATTCATAAATGAAATCACAATAGTTCCACCCCAACAAAATCCAAACACCATACGGGCAGATCTCAAGAAAATATTGCTTTCCAAATTTTATGGCTATGTGCTTACTAAATGTTGTTGTTGTTGTTATGTGCCATCGAGTCGGTTCCGACCCATAGCGACCCTGTATAGGGTTTCCGAGGGTGTAAATCTTTACGGGAGTAGAAAGCCTCATCTTTCTCCCGCGGAGCAGCTGGTAGTTTCGAACCGCTGACCTTAAGGTTCGCAGCCCGATTCGTAACCACTACACTACCAGAGCTCCTGTGCTTACTAAATACTGATGCTTTATTTAGCGATTAGGGTTTTTCACTTGCTGTCTTAAAGTCTTTTGCATCTAACAATACATTTATGTTGAGTGAAAAATCATTTCAATTGATGTCTCAGAGAGGAGGAGGAAAAATGTAAAGTACTAATGCTATAATTTAAAAACAAAACATTAACTGCTTTTCTTAATCATCTGCTTCTTAAATTTAGTGAAAACAAAAATCTCCATAAAGAATCTTAAAGGATAAGGCACAATCCCAACACTGGCACACAAAGCCACAGACAAAATGGTGAGAAATGAACTAAGTCTTATGAAGTGAGATAGAATTTACTAAGATGAAATAAACATATAAACTAAAGACCTGGTAACATTTCATCATAAGTGACTGTTAATGATGACCATGCAATAGACCAGTATGTGCAAAAGAAAAAATAATTTTTAGATAGAAATTTCTACAAACAAGGCATAGGCAAAGTTTTAGTCATAATCCTTAAAAAAGATAGTTGGGTGTTTTTTTTTCCATTTCTAATCTCCAAAACAAACTTATACACATGGATTAACAGTATCTAAGGAACTGATTTAATCAACAGTAATTCTATTTACTGTCTTTCAGCTTTACTGCAACGCTATCAGACAGTTACATGTATCACTTTATGTCCCCAGTACATTCTGAAACAAGACATTATGTGATTTGGACATCCTGCAAACACCGTATTATATAGAAGTTGTCCTTAGGCTATGAACAAGTTCCATTCCTAGGTCTGTCTTTAAGGTAAATAAATGTGTATATATAATTGGAACCATTAAGTACAATTCATATATAAGACCAGTTAGTCAAATGTTTGTAAAGTATACAAGGAGGCTTCAAAAAGTTCTTGAAAAGATGGAATTGAAAGATAATAGTGTATCTTTCTATGAATAAAAAATATTAAAGAAAAACTTCCAGATACACTAAAACATCTTTAACATAATACAGTAACAATAATAATGCTTTGATGTCACATCATAGCAACAGTTTGTTATTCTGAGCCACTGCATGTACCTCAAATTTATGATATAAAAGATTTTGTGGGGGTTAGGGCCACAGATGCATATGCAGTCAGAAACTGCTGGAGTGGGTATTATGTGGCATATGGTTGTATATATATTTTAATATTTCTTTATTGTTAGTTTTCTGTATTAACTGGACTACTTTACCACTCTCAGAAATCAGAACACCACATATCAAAGGAAAACACCAACTGGGGACTTTCATTCAACAGACAGCACTTGAGACCTATAAACTCGATTTATACAGGAAGCAGAGATAAGTACAAATCATCCTCAAAATTCTTAACAATGTTCTTGAATGAGAAGTGCAAGCATTATTCTCTGCACTACATAGAGGCTCTGAAAGGTTAAAGTTCACACACCTGGATAAAACAACTAGGAATAGTTGCTTTCATACCTAAATCTCTTATTTATTCACAAATGACAATTAATACAAATATCCAGGATATGTGATAGCCATCTATGAAAAATAATGAATAAATAAATAATTCTCTAGAGCAAACACTCAGAGGCTTAGCCTCACCTGCATGTGAGTGGGATATGAGCTACCAGGAGCCTGAGCAGAAGGTGTAGGTAGTGAAGCAGCAGGGGTTGGTGCTGGGGCTGCTTGTGGGGTAGGTGCTGACGAGGAGTCCAAAGTATAATTTTTAAAGGCCTCAATATCCTCAGGTCTAAAGGAGAGAAAGAATGCATAAATATAAAGGGGTTATAAAGTAGATTCAGCTCCTAGAGAAGTCGTTTTCAGAAGCCTTTAACTCCTAATTTCTCAGTCCTGGGTTAAAAGACTCCACTCTGCACTAAAGTTCCACAATTTATCAAGAGAACACTCACTTTTCAACTGTAATACAGATGACTGCTCCAATTGGAACATCTCTGGTACCTTCAGCAACAAGGATCTTTGCCATATAACATTCCTCCATGCATTCAAACCCAACTGTGGCTTTATCCGTTTCAACCTTTTAAAACAAAACACAGCTTAAGTTTTTGCAGCCAGCACGAAGCTTATTAGCTTAGGTGCAGAATCATACAGTTCAGGTCGAACCAGGCTTTCATCACAGATTTGAAAGCAGGAATCATTAAAAGATATTTCAGTTAAAAATCATTGTGACTAGCTGCTGACAACTTACTCTAACCAGTCTTCTCTAATACCAAGCTGTTCAAACCAAACCAAACCAAAACTCAAAATAGTCTCTTAAAGTCGATACTATGCACCCAGAGAGTTAACGCTCAATTAACTCAGTGCATCTTTTGGGCCTTTAGCTCCACATTTTAAAACTCACCTCTGCAATTAGTTCGCCCTCTTTGATCTTTTCCCCTTCCTTTTTTTCCCAACGGGCTATAGTGCCTGCCTGCATCGTGGGGGAAAGAGAAGGCAACGAAACCTAGAGAAGAAACATTAATTTTAAAAGGGTGACCAACTCTCACAGGTGCACGGATTCATTCGCTTCCATTTCCTTTAACGCAGTTTACTGAGTCCCATTCCAGGCTGGGCTCTGGGCAGACACCGCCAATTCCTCCCTACCCAAAGTTCATGCTCTCCAGAGACAGGTTTCTTGCTTCAGTCCCTTGGATCGGGCAGAACGCGTACCTCTGGAGGCGTTTGGAATACAGCCCCGAGCTAGGAGCTCTTCTTTCAATGGAACAGGTGAGAGGGAGGCTCCCGAGCACCCGCAGAGTAGGCTATAGCAGGCAAGGCGATGACAGACACTGTTAGGGTGGCGGGAGTTTGGGGGTAAGGAACACAGGCCTCTGAAGGCGGTTCCGAGGCCAGGTCTAATTTGAAGGACAACGGGGTCTCACGAAGAACAGATCCCGGGCTCACCTTCTGATGCGGAGGAAGACTGTAACAGCGGCGGCTGGGCGACCCCAAAAGCTGCAGCAGGAAGCGGTTCCGTGGTGTGGGCCATGAGCTGGGGTTCCAGCTGCAGAGTGCTCGGACCCTGCCAGACCCCCTGGTCGTGCTGTTACAACGAGCCGAAGCCGGGCCATATCGCGGGGTCACGCACACAGGTCCAGGTCCTTCCCTTAAGGCCGTGCACCGAGCACCGAATCCCTCCCTTGGGGCCGCACTCTGGGCCCGTCGAGCACAGACGCGCCACATACTGCCACCGACCCCACACCCCAAACTCAACGCCTTCTCCGGAGTGACCTCTCCAAGAGCAGCACGACGCTGCCGTCAGCCACCCCACGCAGACGCACGTTGTCGTAAAACAGGCCCCGGCAGGTTCTTTCTACTCTCCCCAGGCCAGAAAAGCGTCGGGTTTTCGCATTTCTTCTCCAGAGAGCCGGGGAAAGGGCTTGCGGGGGCGGATGGGGGAGGCGACTTTGGAGCCGCTTGGACGAGGGCGTTCCCAGCTAGCCGACGCAGGAAGAAATTTGGGAGAAATCGGTGGAGGGGGGTAGAAGGAGGTGAGGAGCGAGGAACAGCATTCAAAGGCAGGGACTAGGAGATGAAAAGGGCACCGCGCAAAGGAAGGGCCTCAGCGGACAGAAAGGGCCTGCCTGGTAGAGAATCCTGAGAGGCTGAGCCGATTGAAGGGAAGGGCTTGCCACCGAGGATCTCAGGCCAAAGGGCGGGGTTCGGGGGCGCTGGGTAGAAAAGGCCGCCAAGAGCTGCTGGAGGGGATCAGAGCTGGGGCGAGGTGCCCTGAGCCTCTGCTGATCCGTGGGGACCCGGCTAGCGGCTCCGCCCTGGCTCTACTGGGTTACGAGACTTAACATCAGGTTGTAATCCAAGCAGAAACCTAAATGAACAGATTTTCCTGCCAAATAGTGAGAAGAGCAACCACCCGGAAGATACATTTCCAAATTTAGGTGTACCTTAACAGGATTAAGCATGTTCTGCGTATACAGATAGAGGGTTGGGTTATAAAAACAGAATCCTCATATAAAGATGAGGTTTCTAGAACAATTCTTCTCAATAGCAAAAACTTTCATGTGTCAAATACTTAAGACCAAAACTAAACTATAAACTGGGGTCCCCGGAGCGGCTTTGACTCAGGGCTACCGACTATACAGCAAAACTAAACATTTCCTGGTCTCTAAGGGATCAGGAAATGTTTAGTTCGGAAACCCTTGCAGGGTCACTATGGGTTGGAACCAACTCTACGGCACTTAATAACAAGGGAGAAGGATATCATGTATGGTAAGGTGAAGGGTCAGAGAAAAAGAGGAAGACCCCCAACGAGATGGATTGGCCAAGTGGCATTATCGATGGACTCAAGTGTGGCAACAGTAGTGAGGTTGGCCCAGGATTGGGCAGTGTTTTGTTCTGCTTTCTTCATGATCCTTGATATCATTGGTAGATAAAAACAGAAAATTACTAGTCAAATGAAAACACTCAGAGCTAAATATTTAGATACATAAAACAATTAAATTGAAGTGCTACATGAAGCCCCCTTAAATTTTGGGGGGAGAGCTTTCAAACTGATACAGGAATTGGTGCTTTTAAATACACGTCGCCTTATTTTTGCACTAAAAATTTTTTGCTTCTTGTTTTTGCATTAGATTGTCATATAGTTTACACTCCCAAAAATAATTTCAGAGGCGCTACATCAATGAATTACTTTGATAGTAATAACCCATTTTGTGCTTACATAGAAATATCAATAGCAAATTATATGGCAATAAAGTAATCCTTATCTTCCGTCTCCAAGTAGAAAGTAAATATACTAAAGGGGGAAATCACTTGAGATTTACTTTCATTAAATGTAAATGGTTTATTGATTAATCTCCATCAATAAATGCAAGTGAAGGTGGTTAATGGTATTTAGTTTGCAAACTCCATTTATTCATTGTTGGTTGGTTGTTTTTTCTTCATTAGTACACAAATCTCTGGTACATACAGACAAAACTGGTTATCATTTCGATAATCAGAAAACTTGGATGTAACAGTCTTTATGAAAACATACCATGAAACAGGGAGAATACACATAAACAATCTCCTTGAAAACAATGGTTGCAAACATCCATGTTTCTAAGAAAATATAACTTTACATATATATGTATCTTAAGCAAGCGATACCTCTTACATAAATTCAGACATAGGAGGAGTATGCAATTATAATGCTCATTTATGGAAAAAATTAAAATAATTATGACCTAAGTGCTTTTTAGTAATTAGAGTCCTCTTGGATTGGATGAACTACTTGATGATAAATTTCCCTAATTTGCATCCATCCTGGTCAAAAAAGAGTTTAAAAATCGGTGAGTAAGTAGGATTGCCATTGCAAAGTTAACTTGGAACTGAGAGAGAATAGTCAGTTTTTAGATGTTTAAGGAATTGCGATCTCTACTAAACTAGTTTATATGCAAGGGCCATTTATTTTTTAATTTAAAGTGGTTTAGAGATTATTTTATGTACATTCTAGTTTCTTAGTTTCCTCAAGGAAAGGGAATGTGGGCAGTATTGGGATAGGTGAGTCCACAAAAGTGGCTATGAATCAATCAAGAGGGCTCCGCAGAGTATGGCCACAGTGCATCACACTAGGAGACTATTCAGAACAATGAATTAATGAGTACTCCTCAGAAGGCTTCTTTCCCTTTAGAAATTGGAATGAGGATCACCAACACATTTTACAAAAACATCACACAGTAGGAATGCTTAGTCACTACCCATGTTAAACCAGTTAAAGTGAAAAAAAAAATCTAATTTGTCTCCTGAACGCAACCTTCTCTTCTTGCAATGGAGGCACTGAGGCCATGCAGCTCCTTTTCCAAAGGACATATATATATATATATATATATATATATATAAGACAATAAGGTTGTTGTTGTGAAGTGCCGTCGAGTCGAGTTGGTTCCGACCCATAGTGACCTTGGATAGGGTTTCAGAGGAGCAGCTGGTGAACTTGAACTGCTGACCTTGCAGCTCAAACAAACGGCTTTGCAGTCTGGCACATTAATCCACAGTGCCACACCAAGACTCCCAGGCAATAAGATAGAGACCTTGAAATTCTCTCTGATTTAATTTTCTCTGAAAAGTTAAATTCCACATAATAATTAAGACTGTTTGCTGAAACAAAACTGGCATATAAAACAAATTTAGGAGACAGACATTCATGGCAAATTGTACTGGAAATACAATAACAAATTTTGGCCTGAGAATCCTCATGCTGTTTTATAGCAAAACACTAAAATACATGCAATAACAAAATTTGTGACATGAGGACTTTTTCTCCAGACTTCCTGGAGAAAATAAATACTGATAATATACTGTTTTCTTTTGCTTATTCTCACAATGAGTTTTTCTTGCTTTTGACTTACTTTCCCAGTCATCTCTAATGAGATATTCTTCAATTGCAACAATACCAGGTAGACATGCAATGAAAGAGCTTAAGATGTCTTTTGAGCTCCTTCTGCCTTCTAATCATATTGATTGCAGAACATTGTCTCCACAACTAAAATGGGCAGGCAAAATCGGAACAGGGACTAGCTGGTATCAGTATACGCGTAATAAAATAAAGCATGTTCTGACACCACAAGGGGTGGTAAGAAGAGCCTGTATAAAAGCTGTTGGGTTCTCTAGAAAATGGATACAGTATATAGAATGTGAGAATACACAGAACTCACACTCAAGTTATAAAAATAGACATGGTTCTCAGACAAAAAAGCAAATGAGTACAAAAGAATTCTCCAAACATGAGCTATTTAAAAAGACACGTTTATATAAAACAACAAGATGTCATCTCAGAGCTCAAAGAGTAGTCTTTTGAAATGGCTGAAAAGGGGAGATGAACTGGAGACAGACAGATCAAGAACCCAGAACTGATCTGTCCCACTCTTCAGGTTGGCAGTGTACACTGGTGGCCACAGGTAGACTGCTTTTGGAAATAAGTATATAAATGTATGTAACAATGGCTGAGTCATTGAAGATGATTTAGTGGGTGAATGAGAAAGCCTAAGTTACTAAGTAATTGCTGGAGGAGGTTTCACTCTTAGTTTCTACATTTGACAGTGTTGCATATGGATTCTTGAGTAGTTTGTTTTTCTCACCTAGAATCAACCCTGCCATTCACAACTCATGCTCCATGCCTCATGGTTTCTATTGTGCCCTAAAGGATCAATCTATACTAAATATATAATAGAAAATAACTCCTGGCCTTGAAAAGAGGAGAGGCAGACCAGTAATTCATGCTGAATACTCATAAGTCACAAAGAAACACTAAATCAATGGTCTGTCTCCTTTTCACTGCAAAGGAGATGCCATGAGCCTGATGGCTAAGAAAGTCACAAGAGAAAGTTAAGATATGGGTAGCAGCACCTTTCCATACTCTCCTGGATTTTGAAGGAGATTTGCACTCCTTTCTTATTCCTTTCAAACACACAGTTCATCAGTTAGAAAAAAAAAAAATTAAATGGCTCTAAAGTCAGAGTCCCCAGAGAAAACTAGCAGTACATGAAATAAGCCCTGTGTGGGCTAAAGGACAAACTCAGGACCCGTTAAGACACAAGAGTCAGCCTAAGGTCTTAATTACAGTTTTTAGAATAGTATAGCACAACATGGGGCAGCCCTTTTTCCATCCAATGAACAATTCAGCACCATCCATGTCCAGTCCAAAAGATTAATGAAGGGCAGGCCTTCATCTATGGTTTGGTACCACCTCATGAGTTATTCTTGGTTTGCAGTAGCTGCAAGGAAGCCGAAAAGCTGGTACCTTTTCCTTCTCTGTGAGCACAAATGCTGAGACTTCGATTGCTGCAAACAATGAGGCCTATTAAAATAATACTGTAACACACAGGAGTGATGCATCCAATTCCGATTCCAGATAATAGCAGCCATGCCCCTAAATGGGCGGGATCATCCAACCCCATTGGTTAAGGCCTCTGGTTTGTTGTCCTCAGAGTAAAACAAAACACTGCTTTCCCACCGACAAGGAACTCCAGAAGAACTCATGGTCTACATTTGGATGGGGACTAAGTACCAAATATGCCAGGCACTGAAACAGGACTGGCCTGTGGCCATCACACTTGGAGAAGCTTCTGTTTGAGCAGAATAAACGAGAAACTTCCTAGTGTATGTATTCTGACTTTAGTCCCCTTTCCTGAGTGAAGCAGCCAGGGACTGACCAGATTCCACAAGCTCAGAATCTAACAATCAGCGTTAATTCTCTCCGTGGTCTTCTTCCACCCAGGCTACAATTTTCCCTTCCCATCCAGGGATAGCATCATCATCATGGAAAACCTAGAGGAAGAAAAGAGCCATAATGAAAAATAACAAGATATGCTATATGTATACACAGATGTGTATACACACACACATTTAATTCTTAGTCCCAAATCTATAAAATGGTAATAATCTCTCACACTACACTGTTTATACAGATTTAAAAGAAAGAATAAATTACTAATCAGAGTACTTCGGACTTCTGAAGAGAAAGCAGTAATACAAGTGTTTAAAAATTGGGGAAGGGGAAATTTTTGGTACCAAGCATTTGGAAAGAAAGAGCTGGAAGGAAAATAAGTCTTAATATATTTCTTAGATGTGGGTCTTTTCAGTCATTCAATTCATGTCCTAAGTCACTAATAGAACAGGGATACTAAAACATTTCAATGAGGAAATGTTTATTAAATATTGATTTTTCCAGCTTATTTCATTTTGTAACAACAATGACACTTGTAATAATATTTCATAACCCAGAACTCTCTTCCATGAAAAATAAGTCTATATTTGGCAGATGGACTATAAAGAGAAGCAGGAGCTAAGAAAATATGAGGGGGCTTCAAAAGTTTCTGGAAAAAAATCCATTATCTTTTCATTCCATTTTTTCACAAATTTTTTGAAGTCCTCTTATACTCTAGTAGCTGAGAACAAGAATAACTGATTTTTCAGAAGCTTCCCATTTTTACTATCTGAAAAATTATCACTGCTTAATACACAGTTATATATAGTCATAGCTGTTTACTTAGCTTTATGTAGGAAGCAGGATGTTTCTAAATTTGGCTTCAAATAAAAACCCAAGAACAATGAGTCAATTCTGACTCATTAGTGACTCTTTAAGACATAGTAGAACTGCTTCTTAGGATTACTGAGACTAAATCTTTAAAACCCTAAAATCAAGCCTTTATCTTAGGTTTTTTTTTTTAATCCCCCTTGAAAAATGAAGTATTTTCCTTTTTACAATAAACATTCAATCTCTATTCTTGGTTCAAATTGTAAATCTTTGGGACCCAAAACCCAAGCCTATATCTTAGGTTCTTTTTTTCTCCTAAGAAAAATAAATAAAATGTTTCCTTTTTAAAATAAACATTCAACCTCAGTTCTTGGTCAAAGTTTAAACTTTCTTGATCTATTCCATGACTTTCTCAGTCTAGAGTAACTGTACAGTAGTCTGAGAACTCAGGTACTTCTGGGTACTAGTGCTTAAGCAAAAGACTATGGGGTTCAGGAATGACCAGTAATACCACCCAGACTCTCCATGGATTCTGTACCTCCTCTTTAACAGTGCCAAACTCAGGATCCAGTGCTTTGAAGTGATAGCGGTGATTCCCTTCTCGGTCAATAGCTGCTTTAAAATCCTTCAGTGTCACCTCCCCCAACCTGCAACAAAAGAAAAGAATATTAAAACCGACTGTTAATCAATAGGTTGGAATGGTAAACAGTTAACTGTAAATCTAGGCCCCGCCCAACAAAGTCACTATGAACAGAAATAGCCTGGCTTTATTAGGGCACTACTCCTGATAATCCAGAAAATTCTAAAACACAGAGATTGAGGAACCAATCATCACTACAGATTGGAAATGGCTTTTCATATGGGGAAATCTTAAAATTTTAAATATTTTTCTTTCTTTAGCAGTAGTCAAATCCCTTTGGATAGAAAATGTATAATTTCTGAAATAATAAAAATTTCTGAACCTCCACAAATATGCCTAAATTCTCTTTATTTTCCTTCTTTGCTACAACACTTCAGTTTTCTAGGATAATAGAATTTAATCAATTATCACCATCCTTATCCTTTTGCCTTCTAACTTAGACTAAATGGGTGGACTCTCTAGGAGAGGGGAATCCTATAACTTCTGTCAGTAGTTGGTCCTAGGGTTTAAATCCTTATTACATAGCCATCTCCCTTAGAACAGCAAATGTTTGTTATTCATTTAAAAAGATGAAAAAGTTCTGTTAAAAAGAAACACAGAAACATTCCTTTAGGAGTACGTGTATTAATGGAATGTTTGGAAGGTTTTTAACATAAAATTGCAGTAAGTTTTGATTGTAGTCACCAAAGCTGAACATAGGTCATGGAATAATACCCCTGGAGTACCCAGCTGAAATCCATGGCTAGAGGCAAGAGGGATTTTTAAATTCTTAAAGAATGACTTTTCTAAAATAAGAGCATATTTGCATAGCTACCAGCATTGGAGTTGCTATGATTGTATCTAACAATATATGATTTCTTGGTCCTGGTTAGACAACTGCCTGATGACAAAGCTGGACCTAGAATTCCATCACGTGTTCTTCTCGCTATACCATATTGCTGCTTCTCAAGTATCGCTCAGCTGCTCAGAAACGAAGTCTCACACTGGTTATGCCTGTCTTCCTTTTTTAAAAAAAAAACAAAACAGAGAAATAATGAACCCACAACCGTCTCACCTCTTTGGTATATTGACCATGAAGGGAGTAAGTGACCGATCAGTGAAATAGAGCACTTTAGTACAGGCGCCGCTGATAGCTGGGGAGCTCTGCGAGTGAGGCAACTCTGCAATCAGAGAGACTTTATGGTTACAACATTGAATTGACTCAAAACCAGAAGAACGAAGCTGCTTGAGTTCATCACGTGGCTCCCATGCCAAAGAGCATGAGCCACAGGAAGTTCACGGTGGGGGTGCGAGGACAAGAGATGCTTCAGGCATGGACACTTATCATCAGGAGCATCATAGTCCATTCAGTCCAGTACTCTGACAGGGAAATATCAACTGATCTGACAGGTTTTTCTGCTAACTCTCAAAAGAAGACACAGAAGCCTGGCAAGGTTTCAGCCAAGGCAGAGTGGACACATAGCAAGATTTAGATTTTGGAGGTCAGTAGAGAAAGCTCAAATGATTCAGGAAAGAAAAATAATGAATAGGAACAAGAAACACAGGGGCAAAGTAACCTTAGAAACTCATAGCCTAAAGGGCCTTATTCTTCTAGTCTAAAAGGTCCAAGACTTACTTTATCCTGTAGCTACATAGGATCTATGTGTGTTGGTTCTATGGTCTCTAAGTCAGGTTATTACACCCATGTCTTGTCTCCATCCTTTGTAAAAATACATACACAAAAGTATAATTAACGAGTACTCCTGACTATAACTTAAAGATAAAGGCGAAAAGATAAATCAGAAACTTTTATCATAAGGAGCAAAACCAAATAATTAGACTTTTATTACAGTCTTTCCTGGAATTCCACCTACACATATTTCCTCCTTGACTTATTCCAGGCATTGATACAAATCAAATTGGCAATCACAGTAAAGTAGTTCTGCAAAAGGCTTAAAAATAAGGGAGAGAAAGATGAATTAATACAGTGGAGAAACACAAGGAACTTTCTTCACACGGCAGTCACATTCACAGTTTTCTACCTTTTTGTCCAGAGAATTTCAGTTATTGAAAACCTATATGCCGTGCTGTTCTTTTGACCCTAACACCGCTTCCAGGCACACAGTGGTTAGTGAATAAATATTTTTTACATAAATAAAATACTTTCAACATTAAAGTATATGATGATGATTCATTCATTCTTTGAACAAACATACTAGCAAAGGCTCCATACAATAAGCACTGGACTGTGAACCACAAGGTCTGTGGTTCGAGCCCACTAGCTGCTCCATAGAAGAAAGATGAGGCCTTCTGCTCCTGCAAAGATTTTTTTAAAAGTCTTGGAAACCTTATACAGACTTGGTATAAATCGGAAATGACTCAATGGCACTTAACAACAACAAAGATTTTGAGAATACAAAAATGAAACTATATGTGGTCCCTGTCCTCAAAGAGTTTAAAATCTATTATGGATGGTGGGCAGTATCCACTTACCTGTCAGTTTGTCATACCATGGTAGCTGGTGTGTTGCTGTGATGCCTGGAAGCTATGCCACTGGTATTTTAAATACCAGCAGAATCATGGTGGACAGATTTCAGAGGCGCATCCAGACAAAGACAAGACTAGGAAAGTGGAGAGGCAGACCACTTCTGAAAGGTTGGTAATTGAAAACCTGTATGAACAGCAGTGAAACATTGTCTGATATAGTGCAAGAGGATGATGAGTCTGTCAGGTTGGAAGGCACTCAAAATATTACTAGGGAAGAATTGCCTGTTCAAACTAGAGTCGATCTTAATGATGTGGATGGAGCAAAGCTTTTTGGGCCTTCATTTGCTGATGGGACAAAACTCAAAATGAGAAGAAACAGTTGTGAACATCCATTAATAAACAGAACACGAATGTATGACGTATGAATCTCAGAAAACTGAAAATCATCAAATGAAACAGAATGCATTAAGATTGATATCTTAGGTATTAGTGAGCTGAAATGGACTGGTATTGGTTATTTTGGATCAGAAATTCTGTTGTTTACTATGCAGGAACGTCAAACTGATGAGGAATGACATGATATTCATCCTCAAAAAGAGCATTTCAAGAACTACCTTGAAGAGCAACATTGTCTGTGATGAGATAATATCCACACACATTCAAGGGAGAGAAGTTAAGACCACTATTATTCAAATGTATGCACTAACCACTAAAACTAGTGATGATGAAATTGAAGAATTCTCAAGCTCACCAGCTGCTCTTCAGAAACCCTATACAGGGTTGTTATGGAACTTAACAACAGACTCGACAGCACTTAACAACAACAACAACAACAATGTATTCAGTCTGAAATTAATCAAACATGGAAACAATGCATTTGTAATTACTGGTAATTGGAATGCAAAAATTAGAAACAAAGAGGAAGAATTGGTAGTTAGAAAATATGTCCTTGGTGACAGAAATGATGACATAATTTTGCCAGACCAATGAATTATTCATTGCAAATACCTTTTTAAAACAACAGAAATGGTGACTATACATGTAGACCTCACCAGATAGAATATACAGGAATGAAACTGGCCACATCTGTTGGAACAGATGATGGAGAAGCTCAATATCATCAGCCAAAACAAGGTCAGGGAACAACTGTAGAACAGACCATCAGTTACTCATATTCAAATTCTGACTGAAACTGAAGAAAATTAAAACCCCATGAAGCCCTTGAGTATTATCACATCTGAATTGAGACCATTCCAAGAATAGATTTAATGTATTAGACACTTATGACCAAAGACCAAAAGAGTTGTGTGATTACATCAAGAATACCAAGCAACAAGAAAGCAAAAGGTCATTAAAGTGTCAAGAAAGAAAGAAAAGACAAAAACGGATGTCAGAAGAGACTCTGAAACTTGCTCTTGAACATAGAGAAGCTAAAGTGACTAGAAAAAATCATGAAGAAAAAAGCACTGAATAGAAAAATTCTAAGGGCAGCTCAAAAAGACAAAATCAAATATTGTAATGAAATGTCCAAAGATCTGGAGTCAGAAAACCAAAAGGATCTGACTCCATGCTCAGCATTTCTCAAGCTGTAAGACCTGAAGAAAAAATTCAAGCCTTGGTTTGGCAATACTGTAAGACTCTATGGGCAAAATATTGAATGATGTAGGAAACATCAAAAGAATAGGGAAGGAGCAGAACAGCCTGGAGCGGCTAGAAGAACAGAAGATACTTCTTGAAAGAAAGACCGACAGGAAAAATACAAAACAATATAGGCAGACCGACTGTCACTACAAGAACAAACAAATTGCTTGCCCAGGAGACATCAAGGCAAGTGGTCAGGTCCCCTTAGTGTAAACCCCCTTCCAAGACTAAGACTCAAAGGGTATATAAGCTTTGATTGGTGACCACGCTCATCCCCAATAAGGGGAAGTGAGGGAAAAACAGCAATGAAGCTACAAGCTAAGCCCTACAATGTTCAATAGACCCTTTGTGAGCCTGGGTGGAGACCTGTTTGGCCAGCAGTATGGCAAGACTTGGGGACTCTTGGGCTCAGAGTCAGTGACATAGCCACAAAGGGCTAGAGTGGAGAGTGAAGTGTCCAGCTGATAAGAAGAGAGGGCATATGCACAAGAACACCCACACTTGCAGATAATACCCACTTGACCTGGCTTCAATGACTGGATGATCAGAGCTCAACCAGAAGAGGAAAGAAGAGGAAAAAAAGAGTAATCTGATACAATTTGATGAATTTGACCTACACCTATGGATGCAGTAGCTCAAAAGAGGGAACAAATCTTTACAGCAAGGATCATTCCCACCCCCTCCATACAGAGAGTAGACAGGGATGGGCAACTTGGACATTGGCTACCCAAAATGGAGGCTACACAGGCAAGAAGTGACTGGCTTATGAGTTGGAACAACTTGATGGCAGTTAACAACAAGATAGATTGATGGCAGTACCATTAACTAAGAAGATTAAAAACAAAACAAAACAAAAAATCTACCTTTTACCATTGAACCGATTCCGACTCATAGTAACCCTACAAAGGGATTCCAAGCCTATGAATCTTAATTGGGAACAAAAAGACTCATCTTTCTCCTGTAGAGTGGCTGGTGTGTTTGAACCACCAACCTTATAGTTAGTAGCCCAATGACAAACCCACAGCGCCACCAGGACTCCTTGTTAACAAAGATAGGAAACAAAAATGAGTTTGTTACATCAGCTATTCATTTAAAATCTTTCTTGGGTGCCTTTTATGCACCAAGTATTAGAGGCACCAATAAATTAGATAAAATCCTCATCCTTACAGAGCTCAAAGTCTCGTGGGGTAATACAGCAAAACAATTGCAGTGCAAAAAGGAAAAATATGAAATCATGGCTATGTATATATTTTGGACAAATTTCGAGGAGTAAACCATATGTCAAATGCCATAAAGAGGTCTATTGGGTAAAGACTGATTTAATAAATAGGTCATCAATGACATTAATGAGAATGATTTCAGGGGACTAATGGCTCGCAGACTTTAAAAAGAAAAGGCAGTATAATGAGGGTCAAGGTCAGCAGTTTAAAACTACCAGCAGTTCTGCAGAAGAAAGATAAGGCTTTCTGATCCCTTAAAAGATTTACAGTCTCAGAAACCCTATGCAGGGTCACTATGAGTTGGAACTGACTCCACGGCACATCACCACCATCTCACCCAACATGATAAAATGGTAATTACAAGATCAGTGTGGCATCATTGTAAAAATGATACCAAACTCTCATTATAAAAAAAAAAAAAAAAAATGGCCCATAATCTTATCCTTACATGTATGTGTGTGTAACATTTTTTAACATCGAGGTGGAATTCACCTAGCATTTGAAAGTATACAATTCAGTAACATCCTAAATATTGTACAACCATTTCTCTCTAGTTTTAAAACATTTTCATCATTCCCAAAGAACACCCCTCTTTCTATTCCCTGGCAACTAATAATCTGATTTCTATCTTTAAAAAATTTGCTGATTCTGGAATGTTCATATAAAAGGAATTCTATGTGACCTTTTGTATCTATCTTCTTTTGCTTAATGTTTTCGAAGTTCATCCAAGTTGTAGCCTATACTGATACTTCATTTCTTTTCATGATTGAATACTATTCCATTGTATGCATGTACCAGTTTGCTATCCATTTATTCCTTAATGGACATTTGGA